GCTAACAAAAGAACATTGTGAACTACCTTGTACTGGGTACTACTTGCAGACTGGCTAACAAAAGAACATTGTGAACTACCTTGTACTGGGTACTACTTGCAGACTGGCTAACAAAAGAACATTGTGAACTACCTTGTACTGGGTACTACTTGCAGACTGGCTAACAAAAGAACATTGTGAACTACCTTGTAATGGGTACTACTTGCAGACTGGCTAACAAAAGAACATTGTGAACTACCTTGTACTGGGTACTACTTGCATAACACACAGGGAGAGTAAAACTTATAAAAGTATAGATTCTTACAATTACATTGTTTCTTGATGGATAAGGGAATTACTGGAAAATTAGAGACTTCTCTTTGGAAAAGTAAGTCAGACTGAAAGGTTTACATGTCATGTAAAATTTCTTCAACATTTATGTCACATTTTTTCTTTAATTGTAAAACACTAACATAGTGTTCATGTTTTAAAACTACAGATTTTGGCTGAAGTCAATGATTTCAGTTGAATCCATACATCATTTCAGTTAAATAGTACTAAATAATCTTAGATTTAAAATGTTACTTGAGTATTATAAACTGCCATATGCATTATAACACTGTTACAACTTTGTGCAATCAAAACAACTGTTACTGCTTTAACATTCATTTGGAGAATATTCGAAAGAATTAAATTTTTTTTTATTAATCTTTGTACATGGTACTGGTGGCATAATTGAAACTTCCAGTCCAGTGATTATTACATTTATACAGGTAACCTAACTTGACACCATATAAATCATTGCAATTCGTCTTGTTCTTTGATGTATTAATAAAGCACATTCTAAAAAATATGTTTATTCTTATTCAGGTAAAACGTTAATTTCTTTGTTTTGTTTTAGCTCAAAGCCACACCCTGTCCACTGCAGGGAAATCAAAACCCAGATTTAAGCATTTTAAGTCTGTAAACATGCAACTGACTCACCAGAAGGCTAATTTCTTTGTACAGTAACATATTACTACAATGGGTATAATTTTTATTTATTTACAAATTTTCACTATTACATCTTAATAATTTTTATTGTAAAGTACTGAAGTAAAATTTTTAGTCCACATCAAATTTTCAACTGTATGTAAAAGTATAATGGCTAAAATCATTATCTTGTATTGTGGCAGTATGATTAAAAATTAATCTAGGACATGTGATCATGTTGTTGTTTGTTATTAAGCACAAAGCTACACAAAGGGCTATCTGTGCAGACATACCGCTGTGCCACTGGGAGGCAGCATGTGATGAACATGAGAGCTCCATATTCAAAAAATACCTATACATGTTGGAATAATTCTATAAAAAAAACTTGCAATATCTTATATCCACTTTTTAACCCCCTGCATAAAGTAAAATGTATCTTTTTTAGTACAGCTTATTTGTAGTAGTTTTGTAGACAAATGGTTCAGCTGACTATGAGAGTTTTTCAAACAATCTTATATTTTAGTATTTTTTTATTTAATAAATCTTACCTTTTCATTATACCATTCTCCTTTCAAACATTCTGGTGCCATCCAATAGGGAGAACCAACAACTGGAAGCCTGTGAGCCTGATCACTGAATGAAACAAAACAACTGATGACATGTTTTATAATTTGTGTTCATTTTAAATCTCAAGCTAAAATCAGCAGACATGAAATATAAGTTTACATTAATGTTCATAAAAAACTAAATCCATGCAATAACTAAAATCGAACAATTAAACTGCAAAAAAAAATATTATTTGGTAGACCAAAATTACATGTTATTTTATTAGCATCAAAAGTAAAATATTCATGTAATGTAACATTTTCAATATTGAAATTTATTATTGCATTGCACTACCTTGAAGAAACACAAATGTTTCAACAAACAAGGTATATGAAACATTAAAATGAATATTATAGCATCTTAAACCAGTTCAATGGAAAATGTTAAGTTACATTCAACAAAAAAAAGGGGGAAAAAGTTCAAAGTCGTTGAACAAATAGTACTTGAACATTCCAGATAAAAATAAAATACTATATGAAAGGACCACTACAAAATTTTAAACTATATAATTATAAGAACTTATGAGTGAAAGTAAAGAAGAAAGTAATAATACGTCAACCACTCTATATCTACTACATTTAGTGCTAGCGTAGACTTTTGCCCAATACCCTGATTCATCAGGAAAGAGAGCTTACACTTGTAACTTTTGAAACCAATATGTATTATCAGATTAATTAGTAGTTACTCTGCATCTACAATAAATTAAATATCTGTATACATATTTTAAAGGTTTCTTTTCTTTTTCATCAGACGAGAAATTTAAAAGTGAATCTGTGAAGTAAAAGGACTCAAAACCACATACAAATTAAATGTCTGTTAATGAAGAGGGGGGATAATAATCCTCTGATGAATAAACATTTTATCCATACAATTTTATAAGATCTTGGGTAATTGTGTGCATTTTGTACACTGTAAATTTTAAATTAAAATGAAATTTGTGGACTTTATATGTAACTAATAAGATAAACTTTTTAATATTAGTTACTTCATGAGAGATGTTTAACTGCCTAACATTCAAAAATTAATGGAGAAAATTCTGTAAATCAATTACCTTTTATTGAAACTAAATGATAAGAACTTTCAAAATTGTGCCTCTACTGCCAAATACTTTTCTTCTAATTAGATTTTTTTCCCCAATTGGGTCAGCAGTAAGTTATGAACTTACAACACTAAAATCCACAGATAGCCTATTATGTAGCTTTGCACTAAAACAAACCTAATCTAATTGGATTTTGACAGGAATTTATGTTTTTACATTATAGTAAAGGGCTTTTTAACTTAACACAATATGTTAAGTGAAAAAAAAGGAAATTACTTTGTTAATGTTGGTATATATAATATAGTACACACAAAGAAAAAAAGTAAACAAGGAAGAAAAATACACTGAGATAATGATATAAAAATTATAAGCAAATTCACTACATAGAATAAAAACATAAGCTTATAAGAAGTATATATTATATAAATCTTATTATAAAAGAAAATCTATATATTTCAGGAAAATAAATTAAAAGATATACCCCTCATAATCTGGTATTCTTTCAGCTAAACCAAAATCTCCTACAACAGCAGTCAAGTTGCAGTCTTCTTTCTTGATCAGTACATTCTACAAGGAAAGTTTTATTGTCATAAAATCAGTCTATAGAAAATTGAGTTATAATTGGTTAAAACCACCAAATCATATATTATGCCTCAAATCCCTTTTTGACTATTCTTATATTTGATTATCTATGAATATGATATTTTATATTACTGAATTCGATATGCCATTGATGTCAGCTGACATGGTCATTGTAAATGCTTGAACTAATACTAATACAGAAGCATTTTATGTTAATACAATAATAATTTGATAAACAATGATTTATAACCATAGTGAAAACAATTTTGTGTATAAAACATACACGTTTCAACAGAACATTGGTCTGTCTCCTGTAGGGCCCTGTGAGTAAGGCCAAGTATATCCACAGACAGCAAGAAAGGATACGGCTCAGTTCCTAAAATGTTTCAGCATATTACTGCCTTTAATGATAGACTCAGAATCAGGCTGTGCATTGTCTTGACTTGGGCTTAGAAGGTTCAACCCTTGAAACTGTCAAACAACTAGGTAAGGACCAGCAAGACAACTGTGAAATTTTCATTTATGAACTACATCACTGATTCAATGCAGTGGAAAATTAGGCAATCCATTAGGCAGAGTTCAAGGATCAGGAAAGGACTGGAAATATCTCTGCAGATTAGGAGGCATTACTCTCATGGTAGCCATGCCCTTCCTAACACAATTTCATAGACCCCTATGATTCAGGCAGTCATCCCTAATTTTTAAATTGTGGACCAAAGAAATAGATGGTAATCGGTAGCACCCAATAACTGAAGTGGCTACTCTTTAATCATACAGTGG